TGCATCTAATAGATTTATAAATGTCTGAAATTGATAAATGAAGAAGATATTTACAGAGAAAATATATTCTTACATTTTCTTCAAGAAAATCACGGCGCAATATTCCTGAGACTTAATAAAGATACATAATTACTTTAAAAAGTAAAAGAAAAATTATCCGATTTGCCTTCAAGTCGATCTTCAACATTTCCAAGTTTAAACATAACTATAATCTGAGGTAAAGCGAAATTATTTGATAATAGATGCAAGTTTATAAACTTGTGTTTTATGTTATAATACTCTTAATCATTATCATCATGGTGAAGCAGAGTATTTGTAACAGATTAGACTTGCACACGAGCTTTACTTTACTTAACATTAATGCATGATGATATCTACTTTCGAATACATAATTGTATTGATTTTAATCGAAAGATGTTGAATTTGTTATTTGAAAAGTTTACTTCTCTTTCTAATCGGATGTTGTGAGTGCCATGTAAAATGAAACTTTAATGTAACGGAAACATGAAAACTTATTAGAGTAATATTGATTTCATCGCTTTTATAACTTGACAATCGAACCTAATACGGCTTTAATTTTTTGTTTAAGTATGAGAAGATTGAATTCTTTTAGCACCATAAACACAATATGTAAGCAAAGTTAAATATCCTTTGACACGACTTACATACATATATATTATATTCGCATACCAATTCGAATATAATCGTAATAATTGGTTCCTTTGCAATTACCTACATTATAGTCATAAAACAAACTTTTGGCATGTTTTTAGATGTGTCCTCAACCATCTCCATAATCCCATAGGTAATAACAACCAAGTCAACTTTCAACATGAATAATTAATCCTAATATTAGATGCTTTTAGCCCAGTTCTAAGAGCTCTGCACATTTTAAATTCTATCCGCTTCGCATATTCCTAAAATTGCAACAAGGTGATAGTAGGGTGGTAAATAATTGAATTTTATATAACTAGAAAACTACAAGAAAAATATTATGTACATTAAGAATAATTAGTTAATTACATACAAATACATGCATTTTCGAGTTTGTTTCTTTTTCAATCTACAATTTCTTTTTACACTTTGAACAACATTCCTTTAGGTCAAGAGCAACATCTACCGTAAAACTAAAATAAAGCCAATCATCAGGATTTTACTGAAGCGTTTACATAATAATGTCGTTTATAAAAAAATTCCACATAGATTTACTTACTTACCTTCGACTTCCATAACAGTCCTGAATGTTTGTAGCAGCTTATAAATCCTAGAAGGGTTGAAAGTGTGCCGATAAATCTTATTTAGTGCCAACAAGACATCAACAATTGATTTCACATTAGTCACACCTAAAATATACTCGCTTTTTTCCTTAATGGCTTTAATAATTTCAAATTATAACCCATAATCAAATTAATTTACTAAATATCAAAAGCTGAAAAATATAAATTAGGTTGCCACTTTCCCGGCGCATCCACCAAAAATCAATAAACTGCAAAAAAAAAATGTGTAAAAATATTGTTTGTAAAAATTATAGATACAAACCACCTTGTCATAAAACAACTGCAACATTTGGTACAAACATTCCTAATCTCAAGAGAATAAGAAAGCACAAGCAGATCCTCATATTTACATCTACGTAAACAGAGTGATTTTGAGATAAATTCAAATTTTAACAGGCAATATTTTTTCAAAAATTAATCTGTAAAAGGGTGAAACGGGGTCTAAATTTTTAAACAAATATAGTAACACAAAATTTAAAAGAGATTTTTTTATAAGTAAAAACTTATTCACTATCTTATAAAGAAAGTAAAACGAGGTGTACACGTTTACACAAAAATAGAAACATGAAATTTAAAAGATGTTTTCTTAGAGGGAGTAGAGGTGCACCAAAACCAAAATTATTCGAAAATCTTCAAAAATTTATTGAAAATGTTAGGAAGGTAAATATAGACAAGAATTTGTGCATTGATTTACTAATAGGTAAAATTAGAAAATGTATTCGAAGATTCCTAATATTTGTTGTTCCTTTCCCTTAATATGAAGTTACGAGGTTGTTTTCAGACACTTCACTGTCCCACTTTGAAACTTCACGGAGACACCAGTCGTTAATTATTTAAATAACAATGTTGCGCCATTTATAATTATCTTTAAGAGGATTCTAACATTGTCTGGAGAGCCATTTTAATTAATGTGAAAAAAAAATAAAACTTTTTAGCCTTACGACTTACATCGACACAGCTTGTAACTTATTAAAACTCTCTCCTTACCACTTTGAAACAAACATAATATATGTGAAAACCTTGTTTGATTACAAACCAAGATTTTTTATTTTTTTTATTCAGATCATTAAATTTGCGTGAAGAACGCACAAGTTTAAAAGCTCCCAGAAGTTTGTTTGTAACTTTTAAGAATTTTATACCTGTAAAAGCTCATATAAAAGAAACTTTGCCAACGTCTATGTTCGCTACTAAAAATTCGAATTTAAGAAAATTTTATTACCTTGCTTTAAACAATACATTTTTTATTGATAACTCGTAATTACTCATGCTATTTAAATTGTTAAATTAAATCTAAATTAAAAAAAAAAACCTTTTTTTATACCTATGTATGTACATACTATATCTGCACGGTATTGTTTGTTATAGTTCAGAGTAATCGTATTACAAGCTGATTTTATATCGGAAATCTAACCACTTGGACCTCACATTACGAATTGAATCTTAAATTTTGAGAAACCTCGTGTTATTTAGTACAAAACGTAATTACCGTTTTGTTCCACACAAGACCATTGAGTCTCGTACTGAGATTTCGACATTCAAAAAAATCCCTTCAATTCTCCTTTCATCGTTGCAGAAGAAAATAAAGAGTAGTTTGATTTCCCACGTGCCGTTGGCAATTCACAAAGCTCGAGAATATCCGAAAAGTGAGGAAAAACACCTGACTTCGACTTGTGAATTAAGCAAATTGGTCCGATTCGTATGAATAGCAAGCTGGGATTAACCCTTGAGAGAGAAAAAAACCGATCCGTACTTTTATATTATTTATTTTATAAATGTTTGATCTTTTAATACAGTCCTAGATATAATCCAGTGGTGAGGAACTGAATTATTACATTAAAAAAAAGAAAGAAAATCCTACCCTGTTTTTTTAACATTCATTAGCCATCACGCCTTAGAATCTCAACAATAAAAAAAATTCGAAACCTATGTAAGTACGTGTCAAAATTTACTAAAGAAGAATATTTACAAAAATAATTTGTAGTAAAAATTGACACGCGACGAGTGTACCAACCAACCAAATAAAAAGTTTAAAGTCATCCTACATTTCTTTTTACATTTAATACTCTATAATTATTGCTATACATTTATTACCAGTTTGTCACTAGGATATAAAATTGATAATTTAAAGACCAATTTTATATAGACCACGGCCAAACTTATAATTTTGATTAAAGTACACTCGCTGCATTAAACATTATAGATAAGTCTACCTTAAACCTATATCGACAGCCTTGAAGTTTTACGTTTGAAACGCAATTAAGTATAGTATAAAAAAGCATAAAAATTGACTAGAAGAGGAACAGATAAAGCTTTATAGTATATTTGGTTTAAACCTTATTATTATAGTCGATTGTCTCTTATAGTTATTTAACCACAAATTTACTGCTAAATTTAATACACTTTTGAAAGTTTTATATACAGTCATGACTAGCCTTACCACAAAATATTCCCAAAATGTCATTCTTTGTATTTTAGTCTTTAAAACATATAAACAAAATTGTACGAGACATTTAACTGCCATAATTAAGGTTTACTCGTATGTCTCAACTGTTTCTTACATCAAACATTTCCAGTATTTTGTGGTATTTGAGCAAAGGGCCCACAGCGTTAAGTTTCAAAGTTTGATGTTTAAAAATTGCATCTAAATATGGGCAGACACACTTTTCTCATTGTTAAATACAAAGTGGATACGGATCTCTTGCTATATTTTACTGAATGCTTCGCGAATAAACTAAATGAAAACAACGTTACTGAAAATACACGTATTAACTAAAAAAGTAAAAAACTTTGATTAATTGCTTCATTTGATAATTGGAAAATTTTGTTTTGTGCGTATTTCGTGAATTGCTGTTGCATTAATACCTACTAATCGTTCAATATGACCTTTTCCTCTCCAAAATGTTTTTGTTGGTTATCAACATATTTTATTGTTAACTTTAAAAAAAAAAAAAACGACAAATTTTTTGGTGTAATCGTCGTTTCTTGACCCTTTGACCTGACCGCAATGAATAATCGGCAGCAATGATTAATGATTTAGTTCGTGACAGCATATATGCGTGCGGTTTCGCTATATTTATATTCATCTTTTTTAGTAAAATCATATCGATCCTAGTTTTCTCAGTGCTTAATTTGCATTTGCAAATATAACATTATTTTTGATAAATTTAAAAGTAAATACTGTTTAAAAGCGTTATTTTTTAAATGTGTATTGCAGAACGTTGATCTAATAGGTTTAAACAAGACATTCGAAGTGTTTTTGTTCGCATTCTCCGGTACGAAACAAGAAATTTATGGACTTATCATTTCCATGATGTTTTCTCATATAAAGGAATTCAATAAAATGGAAAAGTCTCGAGCCAATACGAGTATTTGGAGCAAAACTCTTCTGTAAATCAAATCAGAAACCGGTAAAAAATCCAATTTCTGGACGATGACGGTGGATCTTGTTGGTGGTTTTTGCTAGGGCAAAAACAATCAGATAATACAAATTAATGTTTTAAATACAGGTTGCCTCAGAACTCGCGCTACAGAAAAAAAAATGTTTAAAAAATTCTCTCTCAAAAAATGTTTACATTAATTTTGTGACATTCGATATTTATTTATATCTATGTAATGATCTTATATATGTTTTTTTTTATAATTATTTAATAAAGGTACAAAAGGTTTGCTAATAAAAGCCACAAATAACATTAAACAGGGTTACAATTTAGAATACAGCTTCCTTGTTTCCTCTTCTAATAGCCCTATAGCAAAAAAATTAGGATAATTATTTTTCTAAGAGCAATAAATGTCAAAGTGCAAAATTCAGACTCTCATAACGTTGAAATTTGTATAGATAAAATTTTTGTAATATTTTTTCCATGTTCCTGGTATCTCACCTTACATGGAATTTTTCTCTGGGGCGCGAGTTCTGGCACATTCTGTATATATAAAATTAAAATTAGACAAAAATGAGTAAGAATTTGATGGTGGAGTAAAGTAAGAGGTTTAAATAGTTCTACAAAGGAAGGTCATAATATAATAGACCATTTACAAACACAAAAGGGTCGAGAAAGAGCTTTCTTCCTGACGGAATTTAATAAAACTTTTCGATGAATTGCATCGAAATCCCACATTGCAATAAGATTTTACTGAGTTAACAGAAATCAATTAATAAAAAGAATTCAAATTTCTTTATATTGAAATCATATATTCAATAAACTCTATAGTCGAAGTTTTATTTACAGATGCTTTCGCACTCTGCTTAAATTTTTTACGTAGCAAATTATCATTTATGATAAAAAATCACTCTAAACAGAATAATTTCATGACGATAATGAACGCTTAAACCTAGAGACACAAAAATTGATAATGTTAAAAACACACATACTCGTAGTTTTGTACTTTTGTGTTATTTTTAACATTTTCCAACATACATTCATCCTCCAAGCCAGATTTTAATAATTCAACGAAAACAAAAGCTCGTTTAGTATGGAAGTCAGCGGAAACACGACTGATGTTTTTAACAACCATTATTCACACTTAAAAAAAATAAAGTTGATGCAGCCTAAATCAATCAAAATTTTTCAATTTTTTTAGTCATAAAAAATTATGCCAAACCAAATTGTGTTTGCGTTCTGCTAGAAATATCACTATTTTTAGCATGGAAAAGCAGACGCTCCTTCACAAAGTTTTTAATAAAAAAAAATCTTCCGACTTGTTAATATTAATCGCTAGATCATAGAAACGATTCGTGTGCTGCATTAATTTCTGGAGTCTTGACATCGTCTCCTTCAGCTTCAATATATTCGACTCCCTCTTCGTAATCTAAATGGCATCTAGTGGAAACATGATGATCGGGATCTCCATATTGGCTGTGGTAAAACTCTTCTCTCATCATATGGTTTAAACTTCCACATCGAAAATAAAGAATAGCTTGGAAAGGCTTCCGGAAGTCCCGATTTAGTGTCGCGTAAATAATTGGATTAAATAAACTATTAGCATAACCTAACCACAAGAAAAGACTTCCCAAAGTCTTTAGCATATGAGTAGTTTTTAAAAACGGCCTTACTAAAGCCAACACAAAAAACGGCAACCAACAAATCGTAAAAGCACTCATAATGATCCCTAAAGTGGTGCTGGCTTTCCGTTCCTTCGCCAGTTGAAAGCGAAGCTTCTTTTGATTTGAAGAGTTGGTGTTCGGCGAGGACTTCATCGATGCCAGAAGGCTGGACTTTTGTTGTTTATCTTTGGTGGTTTGTTTGATCGGTGCTTTGTTACTCAGCATAGGACACTGAGACTCGTTGCTGTGTCGAGATTTAAAACAACGACCTAAGCTGCTCTTGTCCAGACTGCACTGTAATCAAAAGAAATAAGAGTCAAAAAGCAGCACTAAAGCCTCCAGTTTTACTGCTCTGCTACAATAATAATTACAACGCCGGTAATAACTGCAAAAAATACGAGCTCGTAATTTTGCCGACCGCTCGTATCGCCAGCCTATTTGAATTTTTAACGGTCCTCGTAATAAAGTTTATGAAATCAATTTTCTCGTTGAAGCTTACACCGATTAAACCCCGCTGCTGAAAAATGGAAACTGTAAATAAAACCCCAGTTAAGAATACACGAGTCTAATAATAATTAATCCATTTCGGGTTCCTACAATTTCAATATTGTTCCGTTTTTATTGTTACAAATTTAAACAGGTGATAGGATATTCAATTCTAAGACAAAAGTTTCCTATAAACATGTATCGAAAAATGCTTGGTAAGGGAGCTACACCCCCTGGAAGGGGCTAATATGTTTTTGCTAATATTTCAGAAACCATTTAAGATAAAATTACAAAATTTGGTACAGATGATAATCTTTATACACCTAAACGAATTCAAACATCAAATGTCGAAATTTCTAATCAGGGGCGTCCGAAACTGGTGGGGTTTAGGGTAAAAAAATACCCTATCTATTTTGGCTCTAGTTTCTTTATGCATTGACCAAAATGGTGGTCACTTTGAACAACTCCTTTAGATTTAGGGAAATTCATTTAATTATTGTTACTGTAATGTAATGTTAATTAGTTGAGTTTGATTAAAAAATATGAATTTCTTGCTTTTATTATTCTGTAAATTCTGATTTATTTGAATGTTGTATTGGTGTGTAACATAAATTTTAAATTAATTTTATTCAAAAACAATAAGTCGTATCGACACAAGAGAGACTTTTCTGTGATAAACTATCGAACTTAAGATTTTGTTGCTGAAAGTACCGAGAAACTAAAGCCAAAATAAATAGGGTATTTTTTTACCCTAAACTCCTCCAGTTTCGTACGCCCCTGATTAAAAAATTCGATATTTGATGTTTGAATTCATTTAGGTTATTATCTGTTCCAAATTTTGTAATTTTATCTTAAATGTTTTCTGAAATATTATCAAAAACATATTAGCTCCCTTCCAGGGGGTGTAGCTCCCTTACCAAGCATTTTTCGATACATGTTTATAGGAAACTTTTGTCTTAGAATTGAATATACCTGTTTAAATTTGTAACAATAAAAACGGAACACCCTGTATAAATTTATACCAATACATTAGATTTACCCATCAGAAATTGAAAAGAAATTTTTAAATAGTCAATAGATTCTGTGCTTTATAAAAATATACACTAAAAAATAAATAATAATAACTGCGTGTTTCTTGTAAACAATAAATTTTTATTATGAAATAATAAAACATGAATGTAACCGACTAAAATTCCAAATCACCAAAATGTATTCTCTTAATAGAGATTTTTCCTTTGAGAGTTGTAAGTAGATTTAATCTTATAAGCGTAAACCACGCTTTTTAGAATTCGCATTTCCATCCGGCGCAAGCTTCTACTCAACGGACATGAGACATAAGATTAGAATCGTAATTAGATAATTTATACCGATGTAAGATGTAAGGTGAACAGATTAACAAAATACGTAATTTATTGCCACCGAAAATTTTATGTGTATATAAATACAAAGCAAAAACCGAATAAAATTCCCTTAGCATTTTACATAGTGTTCTTGTTCAGTAAATAAGGAGTTGAAAGCTCCACAACGAGCGGTTCACCATAATTGACTATAAAAAAGTAGGACCCTCTAAAAGAAAAATTTCGCTTGTTTACCGCACATATTCATGAGTTTACGAAGACCGTTAAAAAGTTCCTGTCGAATTCAATTAAGTATACGCAATTTTTTGTGTTATTAAATCAAATGTTTCAAAAATTTAAATATGAATGTAAATTGGTTTTAAAATTTGATGCAACAGGTTCGCTGTATAAATAGAAATTCAAATTTTTAACATTAATAAACATATTTCTACGTGAAAATGGGATAGATTCTTAATGGACGCCGTAAAAATGGAAATGTAGTGCACACAAACAGCGATGTTTTTCGTTTTAACATTTGTCGGAGTAAACAACAAAATTTCTGTGATGTGATATCGACCGAAATGTCATATATTTATGTGATAATTTTAAACTAGAAACTCCACCAATAGGTAGTCAGATCAGGTCCAAAGCATGGGTATCCAGAGTAAAAGCCTATGAGTTGTTTTGTGAATGGCTTATTTCCCATTTTATATTAGAAATCCAAACGGATGAAGTCACTGGAAAATGCTAGTATAACATATAGGCTTCAGTAAGTTTTGCAATCCCAACGACCTCATTAGTTCCATTGGCAATATTTCGAAATGACCTTTAATTTCCGTGCTAACCTAGGTGTTACGTCATTCTCATAACCAGCCGAATAAAATTCCACTTTTTAAAGATTTCTAACATGCCAAGACCAAATAAGACCAAATAAGACATAATAATAATAATGAAAAATTAACTTTTTTATTATTAATGCATCAAAGCAAATAATAATTATACATAAAAAACAAAAATTAATTTCATACAAAAAAACATGAATTAAATAATTAGTAATCCAAAATCTTTAAAATTAAACCATTTTGAAAAACTTTTTTCATACGAGTAACACTGACAATACTAAATACTTTCCGATAACCACATATTTTATCGACGTCAGGTGTTTCCTGTCCTAGAATGAGAAAATTACGTAATTTTTCGACAGATAAAAAAGAATTTTTCATCAAGATTTATGACTGTAACAAATTTTAACAATATTAATACGTCAGCATATGACAAAAAAGTGGTTACGACATTATTATACTATAAGACATTTCTTATGTATTTCCTATGTTATTTTGTTCTTAAAATAAAATTTTTATTTTTCTTAATACTCCTTGCTGTCAAAATCTGGCACGGATTCAGCACGACAATAAAAAACGAAACACAAGATATTTCGAATAAAATTATGTGTCTTCAAATGTTATAAAGCATAAAAATTGTTTCGGTCGTTTCAAACAAGATTATAAAAATAAATCAAATTAAATCATTAAATCAAAGTTAAAAAAAGTCAGTCATTGATTTGAATCGTATCTGGTTATAAATTTTCATTAAATGTTCATAAAAACTGATGTTTATGTAAAAACATGTTAACCAAATAATATCTACAAAAAAAAATACAAATTACTACATTACGAGTATATGTATAGTACAGGGTTTCCTAAGTTCCTAAGTTTTAAAACCCGTGCAAAAATTAGTATTTCTAATTTATTAAAAAAGAATGTTAACGATAGAGGATTAAATACACTTTAATTTGAGGTTTTGATATTGTATAAAATTTTCAGAATATGGCAGTAAAATCTTAAAAATTAAATTTGGAAAAAAAATTTCAATTAACTGGAATCTTTGCTATATGATAACAATTCTTTGATTTTTTTCTGTGGTATTTGTGAAAATAGAATAATAAAAAACTTGATAGGTTTTGAACAATTAACGTTTTAATGCTTATTGAAAATCTGAAACTTGGAATAATTTATGGGGAGGTGTGCGGTAATTGGTGATCAATTTCTTGATATAAGAAAAAAGTCCACAATAACTCTATTGTAAAGCCTTTGCTCTATTGTCAATGCATTATTAGCAGCACATTATCCCAAACTTGGCCATAAATTACCAAAATTTCCAGTTTTCAATATTAAAATGTTAATTACTCAAAATCTATCAACTTTTACATTATTCAATTTTCACAGTTACAAAAATTTTGTCATGTAGAAAAAATTCCAATTAATTAGATTTTTTTCCAAATTTAATTTTTAGGGACATACACTACAAATTTTGAACAATATTAAAGTATCAAATTGAAGTCTATCGTTTGCACTAGCAATTTTTCTTCTTTAATCAATTAGCAATATTTCTTTTTGTCCTAAAATTTGAGGCAGCCTGTATATTACGCCAATCATCTTTAAACTAACAAAATTGATATGTAAATCAAAGTTGATTAATAAGAGAAATAAAAACTTGTAAATAAAAAGCAAAATTGCTTACCATGGTATTTGTACTAGCCGAACTAGACCTGTGATTAATTTTCGAAGGATTAGCCGGAGAAGGCGATTGACTAGAAATCTTATTTTCCGGCGGTCCTCCGCCATTCTTCACACTAATCTCTAAATAACAATGTGATTCTAGATGACTCTGAGCCCTTTTTTCTTCCATAACAATTTTCCTCGCAGCCCGAAATATTTTATAATACACCACCATCATCACAGTCAACGGTATATAAAAACTACACAAAGTCGCGTACAACTGATAACCAAAATCTTGTGAAACTAAACAAACTTCTTTATTTATATCTCCGTTTTCTTCCTTTTCGGAATGTTCATTTCCGATGATGAGAAGTGGAGGAAGCGAAATACACGCGGCGAAGCACCACACCAAGATCACCCAGAGGATCATCCTCTTCGGAGTGCGTTTGACGCCGTATTCCAGCGGTTTGGTGATGGCGTAATAACGATCCACGCTAATCATGCAGAGGTTGAGGATGGAGGCCGTGCAGCTGAGTACATCAAAAGAGACCCAGAGGTTGCAGACGACTTCTCCAAAGATCCACCGACCTTTAATCTCATAGATCATAGCCATGGGCATGACGAGGATGGCCACGCAAAGATCGCTCACGGCCAAACTCACCAGGAGGTAGTTGGAAGGGCGGCGTAGTTTTCGCACCAGACACACAGCAACACACACCAGAATATTGCCCACGATTGTTCCGACTATTATTATCACTAAGATGATCGTTATGATGATGGTTTCGGCTTGATTATATCCGGATTCTTGATACGAAGTTTCATTTGTTTCGTTAATTCCCAAATCTTGAGTTATATTGGCCGCCATACGAGATTCTATTGATTTTGAGTCATAGTCAGTGAGATCCGCTACATTCCTAACTTTTGAAACAATCGTCTCAAGCATTCAAATTTTGGAATGTTTTATTCATTTTGATGGAATTTTATCATTTATTATTTAATTTATAATTCCTGGCTTCAGCCATCGGACACAATCCTTGACGTAATCTGAAAAAAAATTCAAACTATTAGTAAAATATAATAAATAAAAACAAAAACAAACAAAACAATAGTAACTGACAATTTTTGTAGACTTGTTAGAAAAATATTGCAAACCTCCTAATCAAGACTCAATTCTGGTTAAACTGAAGCCCCCAAATAGAACTTCTCTCGCTTAATTAATAGAGAATTGAATCGGTAATTACGATACTCAAACAATTCCTGAACTATCCTTCCAAGTACTAGTGTAGTAACTCGTAACTAGTTAAGCACACTTCTACTATAAATACTGATGAGTGTTGTGGCCATCTGATACTGTCATGTATAAAGAAAGCCCACAAAATCCGGATTATATTATGTAGATGTACAATAGGTATCCTACCCAAAATACTTGCAATTAGCAACGAGGCGAAATTTGATGCTTTATCCATGTTTGTAGATTAAGAAAGGCTTTGTTTGTGAGGGTTTTTTGCAGCTTTAGTAAATATATAAAATGAAATTTTATTTTATTTTTTTATTTGCAATATTCAAAATAATACAATTCCATTATATTGTCGCAAATAAATTACAACATGCCTGTAAGCAGAATAATTGTACATTGAAAATTGAATTAAAGCGTGCTGATTGAAACAAGCAAAGTTGCAAAATTGCTCCTGCTCAATAATAATTGTAGTCGATTACTTAAGGTTCTCTATTAGTGTCTAAAAAACGTATGGAAAAATATCCAAATTTCATCCATGTGTAAAATCTGTATTTTTTTTATCTACAACAAGATCGATTTAATGTCTTCATCTGTAAATACACAGCGAGCGGCAAAATTTTGGAATAATCTTAATAAAACTAAAAATATTTTGTTTTGGCAAAAATATTTAAAAAAATAGACGATTTTCAACTAGTTTTAAAATTTCCTACTTTTTAGTTTTTGAGTAACGTCATCGACATTTTTTTATGAAAACTCCTAATTTTTTTAGCCAATTCAATAGATCTTTTAATTGTCGAAATGACAATACCGAAGTATTTAAGATTACATAAAGTTTTCGAAAAATATAATCATCCAAAAAGTGAAATAGAAAATTGATTTGATCGAGCATTATGAAAACAAATTATTTTCAGTTTTAATAAATAAGATTATTCGATAATTTTGGCGCTAGTGAGCGTAGTGATACAGGGTCGCTAAAAAGTGTGGATACAGCTAAATATTTTCAGAACGGTTTAGCAGAGCACGTTGAAATTTGGGAAACAGTTTAGTTACAGTCGATTGTTAGCCCC